TGTCGGAGAAGGCCAGCGGTACACGGCCAAAGTGTGACTGGCGTGAACTTTTTGTGAGGGATACTAACTGTAGTTGCTCCTTAACTAAAACTACATTTCTCAACCTATCAGTGATCCGCATCCTCTCACTGCACTATAACAGTTTTTAATTATTTTATTCAACATAAAAGTCTAATTTGATGCTTAAAGTTGTCGAAAAGATGTGGTGCTTTTAAACCCTCATCCCACTTTCTAGTTTTCTAAATAAATGGCTTAGATCAGCTGTGAGATGTTTAATGGTTTCATTGTTGTAGCGTTGGCACATTTAAAGGTAAAATGCGCGTATATTACCTGAAAATATCAGTTGGATGATTTGGTCCTCAAGAAACCTATTTTTTAGAGCTCAAACTCTTTACAGATGCTCTAATTGAAGAAATGACGGAGAAATAAAAGGTTAAGCTGCAGCTTCCGAAAGGAGGGGGATAATAATTGAGCAGATGAAACTTTCTCGTCACATTTGTGGGAAATAGCCGAAAGGACGGAAAAAAATAAATTTGTGTCTCATTAAATCGGCACATGGGCTTCCATATTTAGATTGTTTGTTTGGTGAGACAATAAAAGTATGCGGGGTTGTAGTGGAGGCAGCTTGAGTCAAAATAAGGGACATATTTCCACCTATTCAGACCTCAATCAGGCTCCTCAGCTGCCAATACAAGAACAGATGACGCCAACACGACAACAAACATAGTTTTATCTATTTTTTAAATGTATTTGGTTGGTTTAGTTCGCTAAGTAAATTTAGTTTTTGTTGCTTTTGTGTTTTTTCATTTTTTTTACTTAATTATTTTTTAAAGCTCTTGTGTTAATTATTTTGATGCAATAGAGCTTCCATTTAATGATAACAATCATCATTTTTCTCTTTTTTCTGACTTACACCTATACTTTACAAAAATAACTTATTGTTATTTCATGAACAGTAAAGAACTTTTGTTAATTCATATTCTTGTCAGAGTTAGACATCTGACTGTGTCAGGCATTCATAAACCATCTTTCCATCGTTTGACACATAAAGAAAAGTTTGAATCTAAACCAGGGGTTTAACATCTTAACAATATTTGCATGTTTGCAAAGTGCATGTAAAAGTTTCATTTTTACAGAATGAATTACCTATTGAAGGCTTTTACATCCAGCCCCTGAGTTTTGAAATAACATTCATAAGCAAACTTTGACTTGAATAAAAGAAAAAAAAAAAAGTTTTCCATTGTCTTGTCGTCAGATTTTCACATTACGCCCTCTGATGTTTTCCTGTTTGCGTTGCTCTAAACGACGCAGTGGTTTCCAAATTCTACCTCCTGAGAGTTGCTGATAAATCACTCAACTCTTTTGTTTAGAAAAAAAAAGAAAATAAATGCTAGCTCATATAAATGAGTTCAATCAAACAAAACACATAATATATTAAACACGCCTAACTTGCTTATTCAGTTGTGGAACTCAACCACACACCCACACTCACACACACACACACACACACTCACACACAATCAGGCGCTCCTCTGTTAACATTCAAAGAAGTTTTTGTGTTCAAATCCACACAACCATCGGGAGCTCTGTATATATTTTTGGCTATGATTCCCATTTAAGGAGAATAACCTATTTGAAGTTATTTTAGATAAAAAAATTTACAGGTTTTAGATGAAAACTGGGACAGAGAAAGTTGGGAGGAAAAATGTTGTTTTGCTCCGGTGAGGCGTTGAGGTGCTAACAGCGACCCCTTAAAGTGCATGTTTTTGGTTTTTAAATGTGTGTGCATGTGCTTGTGCATGCGCATGCGTTGGGCTGTGCAGCCATAGGGGAGACTCGATCCGTTCTCATTCGGAGCGTTTTCAGGCGGCATCACAAGTTTGGTCATGTGGTGAGGTAGCTGCTCACAGAGCAACCCCTGACAAAGACTATTTGCATAATGAATTCACCACACTGCTTCCTGCCAGACCCTGCTGGAGATTACACCCCGACACAGGCCGCGTCTGGCTGTGCGTGTGAGAGGTGTGTAGAAGTTGGGCTGCTCTCATATAAGGTCAACAGGGGAAAAAATATATATATATACAGTATATATATATACATACAGTTGAATGGCTCTGAGTTGGTTTGGTTGTGATGCGGTGCTTTACTTAGTGGCAGAGATGCATTTATGCTCTGGCAGCAAAAACCTTTGATATAAATGTGAAGAGGTTTTGCGGCAGGACTTGATTATGGTACCGTTACCAGTTTGGGGTCCTTCGCCTTTGAGGCGAAGGACCCAAAAAAAAAATTGACTAATTTTATGTCGTAAAATTAGTCAACCGGCATTTAGAAAGCTGAAGATAATGGTTCAAAAACATTCTATTGGCCTCTTAAACTTGGAAAAGCTTAAAAAAAATCATTACAAAAAAAAAAACATTCAGTATGGATTTGATTGAAGTTTTCTCTTTAGAAATAAACATTACGATACCATTTTATGATGCAACTATGACATCGGTATACTTCTTCCTTCTCTGTTTTAGATGCAGAACTTGATTTGTTGATAAGATCTAAACTCATACATACAGTGAGCATGATGTTTTATGCTTTGTTTTGTTTTTGATCGGTCTGAAAAAATACAAATCTAACATACTGGTGAGAAAAGAACAGCTGCAAGGTCAACAAACTTCGACATGAGCCGAACGATGATCTTATGACAGTGGCGGGGGGTGAAGTGTGAGCGGTGACCTGAGAAAGGCTGAATAACTCCCCAGAAGTTAGACATGTGAAAAGCTGCTTGGATGTGATGCATGTTTAATTGGAGAAAAAAAAAAAAAAGTCAAAAGGTTCACATTTAAATGAGTAAATCTCCTCAAATCGATTTTCCTTTTCGTGTTCACAGCTGTGAAAAAGTAGTCATCCGTCCATTTTTTACATATCTTTCTTCCATAAACAAAAGTAGCGTTGAGCAATATTTCCAGAAGCTTTCCAAAGTTAATCTGTTTTTTCTTCACACAACTGCTTAATTTAACTCGTGTTCAGCCCTATTCATCTATCTAAACACAGTCTGTGTATTTATTTTTTTGTCTCTTTGTTGAGGGGCTTAATGCTGACCTGTTAATTCATCAAACTTTACTCAAGAGAGACCAGGATTCTGTTTACACATTGACGTCAGAGTCTGAAGTGGTAAGGCAAACTTTTGTTCTGGTTTCTTTTTGTTGCATCTATGAAAAAAACGATAACGTTAGTGGGCGATTCCCGAAGAGCTACTAGATGAAACGGAAGGGTATCCCAGCATAGCGTGTGGTAGCAGCTGCAGAATGTTGTCAGAGTAAGAATAATATGTTTGTAAGATGTCTTCTGCAGGAATAAACCCCCCCCAGAACCAGGATATCGACATTATGGTGGCAATGTGAGATCATTTTGACAAAGAACAGGGTGTAAAAAAGGCAGCCGTCATCCATTGAAAAGCTTTGTGCTGGTTTTTGGGAACTTTTTCTGTTTTTCTTAAAAACATCCTTTAAAAAAATAGAGGTGTCTCAAGACACTGTACATTCTATGCCCTTTTGTTGGGGCCATTTCCCAAAACAACAACCCCACATTACTGACATGGTCATCCATTTATTTATTTATTTCTAATGAACACAGACCTCTGTAGAGCCTCATATTACCCATCTTTAATCTGAAAGTGGCTTAAAACCCATGAAACAACCCAGCGGGCGCACATGTATGTAAAACAATGTGGCGGGACTCGGCGGATGGCTTTAGTTCGGGTCGTGTTTCAGCGACCTTCCCCTGCATTTGCATAGCCTCACAGAGAAAAACGTCCGTGTGTTGGTTTTGCCTTTTTAAGATCGGCGATTTTCATAAGCAACCCGAGAGTTTTTTTTTTTTTTTTTTCCAGGACTGGAAATAAAGGCGGACGCGCACAGGTGCCCTGTGGGTCTCCTCAGCACTCGCCATGTACCTCATATTTACTCTAATTGGTTTAATATCCCCTGTAATGAACGCCGCAGTAAAAATGTTAACAATATGGCCTCTGAAACTTCCTGCCAAAACGCGCACCGTTCTTCTCCACGACGGCGAATAACCACCGGATGGGACAGAGAGGAAGAACCGGGCGCTATTTGCTCCCATTAGGTCTGATTAGAATCTGTTGCGCTGCTGTGATCACGGCTTAAAGCACCGGCTTGATTTTCTCCTCGTTAATTAGAAGGCTGATTATCTAAAGCAAAGGTTTTTGAATGAGCCTCGCACGCTGAGAGAGGAGTTTGTTTACAGAGGAGATGCAAATGTGATGTTTCATTCAAGCCGCATGTATTCATATTTATTTCTTTTTTTATATACTAGTTAGTTGCTTGGAGACTTCAAGCATCTGGGCCTCTTGAGGGGAGGGAGGGGGGGTCGGTTGTGGGATAATGTGCCTATTTGGGGGAGGAGAAGTGTGTTTTTTGAGGATCTCCCCTGTCAAGGTTAATTATGCTCTTATTGTTATGTGAAAGTCAAGCTTTCACCTCCTGTGTGCCCGCCGCCTTCGGGATGGAGATGAATGAAAATGAATAATCATTAAAACGCCGCGCAGTAAAGGAGAGTGGAAGCAAATTGCACGGGGAGGGAGGAAGAGGGAGAGGGGTTAAGAAAGGGTGGAGGGAGGTGTAAGTTTGCATGTGTTGGCTTCGGCTGAGCCGTAAACGTCTTCATGACTAATCTGGGCAGGATCTTTAAAAATGGTCGGTCTATTTCGGTGTGTGCAAACTACCGGCAGAAGTGGTGAGGACAGAGAAAGACGGGGAGGG